GATTGCTGCGCCCCCCAGGAACAGCCTAGCCGACAGGCTCTGATCTACCGGGACCCCTAGCCGAGGATCAGGCCGCGGAGACGTTGACCCCCAAGAACAACCTCTAGGTAGATTCAAGGTCAGGCTAGTAGCTGAAGTCCACCACGCGGCTCAGTTACATCAGTTTGTCTTTTTTCCTTTAAACTTTGAGTATTTAATTTCTTTCCTGGTTAATGTGCTGCATTATGGCACCCTCAGAAATGCCAAGCTTAAGTTGCAATGATCTAAATCATTTGTAGGATACACGTGCATCCAGCAGGTTGGTTTAGAAGGTAAGCTAACAACCCTTATGAAGGACCCAGTTCGATCCCGGCTTTGGCGAAACCCGGGGCAGTCTTTCTTAGTTACCCCTATCGTCCCTGTTCACCTAGCAGTAAGTAGGGACCTAGTATTAGCGGACTGTTATGCCGCGTCCTGGGAAGATGATGAAGTACTCCAATGGAAATAGGAGAGTGATTTTCTTTGATTTCTCTGGGTTATTAGCCATCCAGGTTAATCAGAATAATTTTTTACTCTTCATCCTCCCTTACTTCCTCCTTCCTTCTCAGTATATCACCTAACATTTATAGGAATTTTATGTAGTCTTACTCTTAAGGCTGTTGATTAATGTAGGTTGAAGAAGTGTTTACTATGTGTTGTGGACCCAGGCTCTCAGGCAGATTACAATGTTTTGGAACTGATAAAAAAAAAAACCCAGAGACGGTAAAACAGAGATGGGTAAACACTTCAGTGACTGAAGAATACATCTTTGCCGCACTGTTGTCCTGGATGAATTCCTAATATGAAGTCTTGCTATCTCCACCTCCCATTAAAATAAGTTTGTAATGTATACAACTGAAGAACTCAGAGGGTTAATGACTTTTGGAATCGGCCTTCAGTTCCTGATACTTATATATAGCTACATCGAAAAATAGCAACGTCCTTTTACCTTTAATAAATTTAACACCAAGAACTTATAATTCAAGAGCTTGGGAAGGTTAAATCATGAAATGTTCTGTTTTCCAAAAATTTATTTAGCCATGCGAAAACAGGTACAGCCTAGCAGGCACGAAAATTCATGTGTACTCAAGAAATTTTTTACAATAACTTTTAATCTCTTAACTTTTATTAGCCGAAAACACTAGTAGTTTTACAGTGCAGATAATGATTTATTAATACGTAACAGTCCTGACCCTCAGTTCTTTGATGCCACTGAGGGGCTCCTAATTCAAGGAATTGGACTTGCCCTCACCATCCTTGGATCGAACCTAAATGCCCCCAGGAACTATATGACCCCTATGGGGTTTAAGTGCTTTCCCAAAAAAGGGATGATTTTTTACAATCACAAAAACCCAAAAAAATGGGGATGAAATAGAAAAGACTGAAAAAAATTTGGTGATTTGCTCGTGAATGTTAAAAATGGTTTGTTCTAACTTCCTAAAAAATAACTTAATGGGTTATCGAAAAAAGAGTTGAAACATTTTGAAGTGCATGATTTTTTTTTTTAAGGAAAATTTTTTGTTTTGTTCTGTTCCCCTTCTTTTTTTATGTGAAATAATAAAACTAAAAAACCTGAGAATTCTCTTTATTGTAAAAGGGAATTGGGGGATCCCTTTTTTTTTTAAAAGGGGGTTTAAATTGTTTAACCCAATGGAAGGCCCAAAATCGTTGACTAAAATTTCCCAGGGAAGGTCATCATAAAAAAAACCCCCAAAACATCAGGTTTTTGGGTCCTTTTTTCCTACGAACCCTTACAAAACCCAGGAAAGGGCCCTTTTTACAATATTTGCTTAACCTTTTTACTAAAGGGTTAAGAATTGTTCCCTTGACTGGGAAAAAATGGTTGCTTGTTTCCCGGGTTTCCTCCCCTTTTTTGTCTTTTGACTTGTTTCCCAAACATTTAGGACCCGAAATATAAAACTTTAAATTTTAATTCCCCTTTTTCACAGGGGTGCCTGTGGGGGTGAATTGATTTTAAATCTTTGACTAAAAAAAAAAAAAAAAATACTTTCATTGGGCTTAAGATAAATGTCCCCATTCCCTTAAAATTTTCCATGTACTGAAGACCTTACATACAAACCTGCCCACTAATCTCAAAACACGGGGGACCTAAACAAAATAAAACCCTTTTTGTTTTTTTTTTAAAATTGACAAATTTAAAACAAAAATTTATTTTTAATTTTGCCCCGAAACCCCACTTAAAAGCTAAACTGACAAAAAAATTTTAATTTCTGTAAAATTTTATCATTAAATTATCATAAAATTTAAATTTATTTCGTTGGGCCTAAACGACTTTGCAGTTAAAAAAAATAATTATATCGTTGCGCAAAAAAAAGGGTTTCAGGTCCCTTTTTGAAGAAAAATTTAAATTTTTTTAATGCATATGGTGAAATGTGTGTATGTAGGGTGGTTTCAGTCCGTCGTGCGTTTTGCCCGTATTTGCGCGCGTGCGTGCGATGTGTGTACGTGTCATTATAAAGTGTGGGGAATTTCAATGTGTTTTAAAATTACTGTGCTTGGGCTTGTCACCCATTTGTAATGAAGCTCTTTAATAATAACAGTCATGAATTCATCGGGGAACGTTTACAACTACACGTATTCTTTTGCTGTAAAATTTTTAGACTATTAAAGAAAAAACAAAACTTTTTTTAAATGAGAAAGGGTTAACATCTCTAGAGGGGCCCGGGTCACGCTGTAGGTAACGATCCCCGTAGGCACAGCCCCGCACGGGAAAGGGCTAATGGTTCTGCTGGGTTTGTTCACTGAAGTACATTCAAAATCACGGGTTTAAGCCAAATTCACTGTT